TTCAGTGAGTGAATCTAATTAGCATCATTGGCTCAAACTCAAATTGTTTTTTGCCCTGGTACACTGACCATGAACGCCACAGCTGCTCCACAATAGTCCAACACAGTTCATTACTCTAAACTTTGCCACAGCAGAGTACTCACTTTAGCACTAAACTCCGCATAAACTTCTACTAGAAATAACTACTATTTCTACTAGAAATTTATACTCCGTACATTTTCCGAAAAGGCTCTTTAATTTAGGAATTTGAATTTGAAGAGAGTTATGTATCATTTAGCGCTATAGTCATGAGTTAAAGTTGGTCAGAATGATCCAGAACAGGTTTTTGGTTCTGTGCTTTGAACAGATATTGGATCTATCCGAGATGGACTGCTGAAACATTGAAGTATGCTAATTTGTGTTATGCAGAGTTTAGTGCTAAAGTGAGTACTCTGCTGTGGCAAAGTTTAGAGTAATGAACTGTGTTGGACTATTGTGGAGCAGCTGTGGCGTTCATGGTCAGTGTACCAGGGCAACAAACAATTTGAGTTTGAGCCAATGATGCTAATTAGATTCACTCACTGAATTCCACCTTTACACTGTCTAAGGGTTAGAAATCAGCTGTGATAGTTTATGTAACATCTGCTTATATCTAGTTAACTTCAGCTGGCTAAATCCACAAAGAGCAGCAGCACAGGTCAGGTGTTCGTAGCATGCACACAAAATCTACTGGAGCTCACAGTAGAAATTATTTTGACTAATTTCTAAGTGATTCTATTCTCTACACGCCACCACTACAACTGATCTGTTCCCACAGCAGCCAAATCCCACCATGACCCTTGACTGGGCTCATTTTCCTGTTTAGATGTGGAGGCAGAGTCACCCGTTCACAGCGTGGGCAACAGACGTTCAAGCTGAAAACATTTATTAGAATTAGAAGTTAGGTTGAGATAGTTTGATTTCTCATGTGCTAATACTATTTTATCATTGTATTAACATGAAAAGTATCAGTTAGTTTTGCACCAGTTATTATTTTATTTTCTGATTAGCTTTTGTTTTTATTTAATTTTGACATTTTAGTTTTTAAATTCAGTTTTATTGTGAGAAAATGTTTTATTTAATTTAGACTTTAGACTTTTTAAATATTATTGTATGTAAGTCATTAGCAAGAGTTGGGAAGGTTAGTACAGCTATTACAATGGAAATTATTTTATTTGACTTAACAATGGTTTTTAACATCTGGTTTTGGTTTTTTCAACTATAATAACCTTTTTTTGCACACACATAGTTGATCGAAATGTCCTCCAAAGAGCCACTTACTATACTATGACTACATTTCACACCCTGTACTTTTCACTATACTTGAGTAAATTGGTCAAATCAGTATTTCAGCTTTTAGTAGAGTATTTTTAAACACCTTTTTAAAAAAAAAAAAAAAAAAAAATCTGTATTTCTGCTAAAGAGAAGAATGTCTGTACGTTTGCCACCTGCGCTAACCAGAGCCGTGTGCCTGCTCATGCTCTTATCGGAGGTCTTGATGGATGGCTGGTGACTTAACTGCTTTGTTCCCTCCTGTGAGATATGTGATAAGCTGGTGGATGACATCACCTAGAGGTGAAGCCAGTTCACGTGATGTCTCTCGCTTGGTTTCACCAACAGGCTCAACAGCAGAGGGTCCCCACAGACCTCCCCTGCTCTCTGGATGCCAACAAACAGCAGAGACAGCTCATTGCCGAGCTCGAGAGCAAAAACAGGTTAGGCATGGCTGGGTCGGAGAAACTGCTCGCCTCCTTTCTTTTGAAATTTACCTTTCAGAATGAAGGCATCTCTGAACAGACCTCAAAAAGATTCAGAAAAGAATCTTTTTGAGAAGAAAGAAAGAAAAACATTCACTACTCCAGGCTGCCATTAAATACTAACTTAAACACTGCAAGGAAATAAAACCTATTTCATTTCAGTTATATTATTCTTGAATAATTCTTTGAAGTGGTTTAAAACTGCTAATAAAAAGACATAAAATATGATTCTACAAAGGCTATTAAGAAATATAAAAGAAGTAGCTGTGAAAAAATTAATGTTTAATAAAATTAGGGAAATTTATATTGAGGTGGAGGCAAAGGTGAGTAAAAAATGTGAACCAGAAGGCTGTAATCATTAATTTTAGCTTGACCTTGGATCATATGACCTCAGAATTATTCTCCTTTTTCCCTGAGCTGATGTGTCTGCACCAAAGACATTTGGACTTATCAAAAATATTAATGACTCTATTTATCTTCCTCGTATGGAAGCTTGTTTGAAGTTAGGGATTTCAAATTTATTTCAACCTGTGTAGTAATATTATATTTTTATTGTATTTATATGATTAGGATCAGTTAGTTGAGTAAAAAGTAACAAAACTAGGAAGCTCTAATCAGTATTTTTGATCTATGACTTCTTTTCTTGTTTCCACCACTGGAAAAAAAAATTACATTTTGCCATCAATAAGTCAAAATTTCAGGGTTATTATCTCAAAATTTAAACTTTTCTTTCTCAAAACTTTGAGAAAATAACTCAAAAATGAAGAAAGAACTTAAAATGTTGATTTCTTAAGTCAACATTTTGAGATAATTACCTGAACATCCTAATGGAAAATAGTTTTTTTTACATTGGTGGAAACAAGCTTCTGTATTTCTCAGTGTTAGGGTCCTGCACGACTGAGTTGATGTGATAACGTGACACTTGTGCTCTTCCTAATCTGACAAGTCACAAATCGTCCCTTGTTCTACCTTTACCACTTTCCTACTGTGATTATAATTTTTTTTTTTTTTTTTTTGGTTGCAGCAGAGAGCAGTTTGTTTAATTTAAATTTAAAAAAACAAAATGCTAAAAACATAGTGCAAGTCACTGATACTCGACTTATGGCCCACTATAGGAAATCAACCAGCCTGTCAATCACTTCCTAATCAACAACAACTTCACTCAAGGATTTCCAGCTGTGTTTAATGTTGTATAAATTCTTTCAAATGTAATCAAAGCTTTTGCAGTTTCTTCTACTGAATGCAGGTCAATCCTAGTGTCAATCTCTGGAAGTTAATGTCATTAATATAAACAAAAATTATTTCAAAAAAGATGAATTGTGAGCTTTAAACTGTTTATTCATTTTGCCTAATAAATATTTTTGTACTATTAACCGGATACTGGCCTGTGGACACTACAATGGTGTATCAGTGTACCAGTATTCAAAAGGTAGAGGGGAGGTGTTCGTAGCATGCACACAAAATCTACTGGAGCTCACAGTAGAAATTATTGTGACTAATTTCTAAGTGATTCTATTCTCTACACGCCACCACTACAACTGATCTGTTCCCACAGCAGCCAAATCCCACCGTGACCCCTGACTGGGCTCATTTTCCTGTTTAGATGTGGAGGCAGAGTCACCCGTTCACAGCGTGGGCAACAGACGTTCAAGCTGAAAACATTTATTAGAATTTCATATTGGAGCATTTAGCTGCTGAAGAGCCAGGTGTTTCCTACAGGAGTTGAAACCAAACAGCTGAGAGAAGGCGATAGTTGAACTGACATAGTCACAAAATTATATTGTTCTGTGTCTGCTGGATGCTATAAATAACTGAGCTGATGAGCAGCTTGTTTCTGCTGCCTCATAGTGGTCAGAAATACCGGTTACTGCAGGTTTAGATCATCTTGTTGACTTCCTGTCAGAAACACGGTTTGACGTGGCACTTGCACGTGTTTGTACTCATTGCAGAGAAATCCTCCAGGAAATCCAGCGACTGCGCCTTCAGCATGAGGAAGCTTCCCAGCCGCCACCAGACAGGGGCCAGCAAAACCCCACCCTGCTCGCTGAGCTACGACTCCTCAGGTAGCTCCGCCTACTTGCGTTACCAAATGCAAATGAGTTATGACAGACAGCTTTGCTTAGGGTGCTAAAGAACATGCGTAATGAATATTATGTTTTTCAGTCTGCAGATGTTCATTATGTTTTGGGGGGGTTGTTTGAGCCACTGACGTGACATTGTGGCTTCATTATGCTGTACAACTTGTTTCTTCTGTTAGGCAACGCAAAGATGAGCTTG